AAGATGTACCTTAGTTGTGTGTGTGTGTGTGTGTGCCATATACAATATTTTACGAAAAGAAACATAAATGTCAGCAAGGCTTACGTAAGGACGATCAGAAGTTAAATGGGTACGACTTCTTAGTCCCAGTGACCTGGGAGTGCAATGACGACAAGAAAGCCGTGGACAGGAAAGGAACGCGGCGAACGAAATAAGTAAGTGAGCCAACAGCGCGGCGCGGATAAGATGATGTTGCTTTCATTTCCAATCGGTCAGTGAATGAACATGGCTCTGCGCGAGTGGTACGCCGATCGCGAATTGCTCCTAACAGGAGTGACCAGCGACCTGGGACGAGCGCTGCTGGAGAAGATCCTACGTTCGTTTCCCAAAGCGAAGGTTTACGTTATCGTCCGGTCCCGGGATGGGCTCAGCAAAGACGACAGGATCAAGAATATTCTTCTTTCGCCTCGGTACATCTCATTTACCCTCGAGTCTCTGTTATATCGAATAACGTGGTTTGTCGCGAAATGTGGAATTTGAGCCGAAGAAGTAGTGCGCGCTTGGGAAAAAGCAGTGGCGAGTTAATGTGATAACGGTACCGTCGTTACGGAACGACTTGAGATTATAAAGTTGAAATTAGTGGCAAACGAGCTGCGCGAAACTTGAATCAGAAACTACGTTCTTCCTAAACAAAATCTTCCAGGGTCATACATAAAACATGAACTACGCGTTCCTCGGGTAGAAAACATCTCGCGGCGGTGTTCATCAATTTCTGTATCATTCGCTTCGTTCCTCGTTTCATTACGTTCATCAGGAACAACTGTAGAACCGTCATAAAATTATCGGTACAGTTTACTGCATAATAAAATCCGTAAACAATACATATTTTATACAAAAATAATAGCGGTTCATATTTGCGAAGGAGGAACCTCGGAAGGAAAAATCGCAGTGACTGTTAATAAGAATGAAGATAGATATAAATTGTGAAATTATGGATTGAATTAATATTTGTGATATTAGTTCGCGAATTTTGGAATTATTTATTTATGTGAACTTTGTTTCTCCACCAATCGCCTTTCTAAGATTGTTCGTGAGGTTTTTTTAATCGATCGTTTTATGGGAGAACGAAAATAATTTTCGGGAATCTTCACTCATCTACGTTGAATGAATCATTTGTTATACAAAATACCAAACGTCGTGATATTAATTTGCGAATTCTGGAATTATTTATTTATGTGAACTTTGTTTCTCCGCCAATCGCCTTTCTGAGGTCATTCTGTCTTTTTAATCGATCATTTTAAGGGACGAAAATTAATAATTCTAGGGAATCTTATCTCAATTTCGTCTGACGAATCATTCGTCATACAAAATAGCTTACAGTCGTGTGATCATTCATTGCATATTAAGCTGGGCATTTATTATACGTTGCAGCTGACTTTAATCATTTAGACATTTCACCCATCCATTCTAATCAAAGTTTCATTAAATTCGACAGTACAAATCGTGTCGATCCGTTTAATTATTCCAAAAAAGTTGCTGTAAAGAATATCTTACCCAAAAAGTTCCGATCAGACTGGATACGACGTGGCAGCATAAAAGAATCAGTATCACTACCTTATAGTATACACGCGTAGACGTATAAATTGGATTGCTCGGTTACGTGATCGTCCACCGTAACGATACCGGTTGCATCGTAAGGTACACACGCGAACTAAAACTCAACCGCGGTAACCGGATTGTGGATGGGTATTCTCGCCACCGGTGAAATTTATTTTCATTACCGCGTTTTCCGCGTCGGCCGTCTTTTCGCCGCTATTATAAATTCTATTGAATGCGCACGCGAACGTTTCCACGCAATGACTTAAAGAAAAATTCCTTGACGTACTTCGAATTCGGCGACTAATAATCTCTTGGGTAGAAACTTATGAAGTGTACTTCTATAAGTGGTAGTTTAATTTCAGTAAGAAATTGAACCGGTATGAAGAATAGGGGAATAGGTTGATTTAAGGGAGCTGCTACGAAGCGTTAGGGGAAGAGTGAAATTCCTTAAGGAGCAGGTATTTATATTTGACCGTCTTCAAGCTCACGTCGCAGGCATTACAGGCAGCAAACCATTGATATGATTATGGTCTACATGTACGTAGTCGTTCCAATAATAGGAGCCTTGGTAGTCGAAGGCGTGGTGAAGGACTGTCTGCAAAGCCCTTAACCACTGTTATACCGAACGCTTGCTGTACACAATTGTTAATGGTACACTCCATTGAAAGAACGTTATACCAGAACCTATTTTCAAGAGTTAAATTATACTCGATCTCACGGAATTTGACAGAGCAGGAAGTCCTTATTTAGTGCTACGATTTTTTACGAACGTCTTCATCAATTTATAATCGTTGCAACTTTTAAGTTAAATCACTATCGTCGTTGGCCCCGATTCAAATGATTGATCAAATTTCACAGGTGTGAGAGGCTGAAACAACAGGATCCGAACGCGCTAACCAGAGTGAAAGTATTGGAGGGAAATTTAATGTACGAGGGATTCGGGACGACGACGACGAGCAGAGCACTGCTGCGAAATGTGAGCGTGGTATTGCATGCTGCTGGTCCGCACGAGAAACTCCTCCAGTTTTGCCAGGAACTGCCGCGACTGGAAGCCGTGGCCGCGTTCACGAGCGTCTTCCAAGGCCAGGGGAATCGAATCAGCGAGTCGTTGGAAAAGGAGCACGGACTCGATGGACCTGTGGCTTTGGTACGGGTTCCGTTGGTCGGGCCGGCTCTCAGCGAGCCTATGCCTGGTTTCGTCGACGTCCTCAAAGGACCGACTGCCCTGATGGTAGGAGCGGGCCTCGCCCTCGGCAACGCGGAGTTTCAAGCGGAAATCATTCCGATCGACTTGGCGGTCAACACCCTCATCGCCGTTGCTTGGGAACGGGCCACCGCCGCGTAAGTACCCTTTCCCTCTCCTTTCGCTCGCTCCGCTGACTTCCACGGTTCCAAGCGATACGCCTTGGATTAAACGCTCTTGCGGTTCTATGCAAATAAGACGAGCCCGCCGATGTTTGTCCTCCCACAGAAATCGATTTGATACCGAATGTATCAAATCGGCACGCTACAAGATTAGCCACATCTTAATCCTACTCTCAACATGATTATATCATTTCTCATTTATTATTGGAAATTTATTGATTTATGCGAATCTTTTATGCACACTTCTGAAACAGGTTTTTTTCTTACCTTATCTATCTATTTAATTATACGAAAAAAACAGTCCTCTCTATAATATGTATACAGGGTGTCCCAGAGAAAGTGTTACAGACAAAGAGAGGTGATTCTCTAAGTATTTATGAGCAACAATTTCCTTTACCAAAATGCAAAGTGAGGCATGGTTTTTGAATTATTAACAAAATATACTGACCAATAAGAGCGCGTGTAGGGCCCGCGCTCTGTCATGGCTGAGCGTCACGATCCGAGTTAACTTACCCAGTATTTTTCGTTAATAATTCAAAAACCATGGCTCACTTTGTATTTTACCAAAGGAAATTGTTGTTCAGAAACACTTCTACAATCAACCCTTTTCGACTGTAACACTCTTTCTGGGACACTCTGTATGTATAATACAATCTTATAACTATCTTATTACTTGACTTATTAATTGGTGATTATTAAAACAAGAAGAAAAGTAATAATAAAAATTCAATAAAAATCGTCCTGTTACTTTTTATGTTTACTTCCAATAATTTATTCTATACAATTCAGTTATAAATTGCACGGAAAAATAATTCCAACAAAATCTTTTGACGCTCGAGGGTGGTTTATTCCCTTAATTGATAACGTGCCCGTACGTCTACCTAACGACGTGTTTGACGGAGGACGTCATCGATAAAAAAGCTTGAGAGATAATTAACCCCAGCGTTGGTTGCACCGTGCGAGTGCACATCGGACGTAAGGAGTGGCGCAATGCACTTTGTTAGTTAACACGAATCGAAGCACTGTTTCGCGATAGTTTCCGAAAGTCGCTCTTGATACAATAACCAACTAATTGCCAGATAACTCGACGCATCGTTGCGAACGCCTACTACAGTAACGGAGAAAGTTAATTGGCAAGCGGAAAACGGCGCACGTTGCAATGTAACAGGTTCTTACGTAAACCGGTGCAAACACAAATTATTAAAAGGGAAACCTACATACGTAATACTCGACGAAAGTTGTTCCCTTTAAATGTGCAAACAAGATGCAACACTGGCTAATAATATAAAGCGTATAAATATAAGACGATGCTTTGAACATACCTATAAGCATTCAAAATATTTAGTAAATATTCTAATTTAACTATTTAAGTCATGAACATGTTTTCTGTATGTACATAAAAATACAAAAAGAGCTCAATAGTGCTCTTTAGCATTAAAACTGTTGATATCTAATCGTTAGATTATTTCAACAGTGAATAGTCTCAATTGATTAATGATTGTTTCAGGAAAAGTTTACAAGGATCGATTGTGTATAATGCAACCTCGATCGATTGTACGTGGGGCGAATTGATAAAAAAGAGTCAACGGGGAAACAAAAAGTTCTCGTATCCAACCTTTGGCCTACGTGGAATGACAAGTATAGCTGTGATGTACTGGATTCTAGTGGCTCTCTTCGAATGGTTACCATCCGCATTCTGTGATACGATCCTGGGCTTGTTCGGAGCAAAGAAAAGGTGTGTAATCAATTCGGTAATTTTGTTTAACTGTATATTTACCTTCCTTCAACATTTTCATTATGGTTATTTAATTAATCGATGTAAAAGTATATTAAAAAAGGAATAACTAATTTAGCAATTCTAAAGCCAAAAACAATTGTTACTTCCATATGTGATAATATTTATTTATTTATTTATTTATTTATTTATTTATTTATTTATTTATTTATTTCGCACAGTTACTTCATATGTAATATATGCCATACATTTAAATAATATTTTAGAAAAAAGGATTTAACAGTTAATAAGTTTGGATTATTTTATAACGTTGCCGTTGTATGAGATTAAGAAAGAATAAAAATTACGCACTTTCTTATAGTAAAGAAACTGATTACCAAAAAATAGTACTGAAGTTTTCGTAAAGTGGCGTGGGAGATTTTCGCGTGGGAAAAGTTCGGCGGTCGCGTTTACCAAGACCTGGTGGTGTACGCGGGACAATTGGCGATGCGATCGTAAAAGTAAAAGTTAACTCGAACTGCGATTTAGTCGAATATCTGGAGTAAACAGGTTTCCCACGAAGCTGCACGAGCCGGTGCGATAGAGATGCGGAAGGGGGGTGGGAGGGAGGTCAGTTGAGGAAAGAAAACTCATTTTCTCCGCGGAAAAGTTGCGGGCCGGTTCTCTGATTGCTTTTAAAAATCGCGAGTTCACTTCGTTGACCGAAGAACTTAACGAAAATCTTGACAGCCTCTCATTGAAATACGTTCCTCCTGCTGGACCGGGTGATTTCAAGTTCTGGAAACTGTCGTACGCGCGAGTCACAGTTTACTTAAAAGTTACTCCTTTGCGTTCCTTCCAAAATTCTTCACATTGGTTCACATCACGACTTGTTAGCTTCGATTGAAGAGTTCGTAATAAAAATCAAATCGATTATGTGTATGTGTGTGTGATAATATCAAATACTCTATTTCTATTTAAAATAATTGAATGTAACACTTCTAAAAGTAATTATAATTGAGTTTAAACAAAAATTGTTTGAAAAATTGACGAAATATTGAAATGTATTGAATAAAATTGATTATTTGCCTGTATGATTAAATAAATAACTAAATAATTAAATGAATAAACAAAAATTGATTCTCTTTCTCTTCTAACGAATAAAAGTAATTTCTATTCATTTAACACTTTTTATGAAATCATAAGAGAAAAAGCTAAAGCAAGCATGAATGAAGGAAATGTGAAAAACTAATTTGAAGAGTTTCATCGTCGATATTAATGATCTTGCATTTTGTCATGGTATTAGCATCTTAATAGGGAACGAATAGGACAGGAATTCGATTTCGTACGCTGTCAGAAAATAGTCGAAGTTAATGTCTCGCGGCAGCGTCGCGAAAGCTTACGCGCCTTTATTACTCGGCGAAGTCAAAGCTCATTGCCTTCCTACGCCCCAGCAAACTTTTGCAATTACATAAGAGACGGTCGCGAAGCGATATCGAGTGTGTCCTACATATCGATCTGCATACATCGTGCAGGTAACGTGTTGCATGCGAGTGCTGCGTCTTCAGCCGTCGTTTATCAGCCCGGCGAATTACCGTGCTGGTGTCGTGTCTAATTGCGTTAATCGATTGACCAGCGGGGACAATGCTTTTGATTAATTGAAATGGTATTCACCATCGCATCGCTATCGACTGAATTTTAATATTTGATACCCAGCTTGTTTTAAATTAACTATAAATGTATGTTTAAAACAATGAACAATAATGGGTTCATAATATTCTTTGATATAAAATAGAGCTATAATAATGGGTAATAGAAACTGAATATAACAGTTTAGCAACGGTTCTTTATTAGTTCTTCAGATATTGGTAATAAAATTTGCATGCATAATTTTCTCAATCAATTGTATGTTAGTTAATACAAAAAGAGATCTACATACACCGATGATAAACGAAAGACGAGGATAAAATTGCTGCAAATCGTTGGAGGTTGTGGGAATAGTAAACCCGAGGAGAGAAGATAGACGACTCGACGATTTTCAGAAGAAGTAGAGAATGTAAAACCTTGGGTTTTTCCGCAGACTTCTGGAGGAGCATCGGAGAGTCCGTAATGCGCTCCGTTCCGTCGAGTCAATTTCATCGAGGCCCTGGTCAGTGGAGAGGACGCGCGTGTTCCAGCTCCAGCAACGACTCGCCCCGACCGACCGAGATGCATTTCCGGTTGTCACGGAAATTGACGTAGAGAGTTACGTTCTTTGCACGGCCGCCGCAGCGAAGAAGTATTGCGTGGACGAGACTAATATCACCCTCGTAAAAATCTTTCGACTACTTTTCCTCCTCCTTATTGCGACCGTGCTTCTCTGCGCGTTCCTCTCTTACAGGCATCACGTGCCTGCGAAACATCATGAACTGTAACTCCCGGCCAATATCTCCTGGCCGAGAAACGAAAGATATTAGTTAGTTGTTTCTGTGACACGAAGCTATGGAATTCATGTAGGAAGCTTTTCGTTCGATTATCAACTGGTTAATTGGGATAAGTAACGTAGCGGAAGAATTTTATTTGAAGTTTATACGTGACAATAATAACGAACAATATTGAATAAATAATTAACTTTTGGAAGAAGTATGTAAGACATGATTTAATCGAGAAATATTTTTAAATAAACGATAATTAGCGATCTCTTCTGTTAACAAATTATTTATTCTATAAACTCATATTGTAAACTGATTAATTGGGATAAATAAAGCAATGGAAGAACCATATTTCATATTTGTACGTGATAATAATAACTAATAATAGTAGATAAATAATTTATTGTTGGTACAAATATATTCAAAAATAATTTAATGGCGACAATAATTAGATTTTTCTGTGAACAGACTATTTACTCTATAAAATTCATATTGTACATACATACATATTGTTCTACCTTTTAACATTCGAAAACAATTTTCCCTTTTTCAAAGAATTTCAAAATTGCATCTCGACGAAAAAATAAAAATTCTCCATTCAGAAAGAATTAATCATGAGAGACGAAATAAATTGAATAATTTACTATTAGGTAATTAAAACTAAAATTGAAACTTTTAAATGATTTAATTATTATTATTATTATTATTAATTTCAAGAGTAAAAATCAGACTCCTCTCATGACATGATAGTCCAGTATAATGCGTTATTAAATTATCAATAGCATACCTCAGTAAAAAAATCCGGTGGGAAATGTTTAAAAGAACGGTTTCACGGTAGAATGTTCCACCTGCGATAAAAGAAAGGCGTCCTTATGAAACAAAGCTAGTAGATACGTTCCCTTTTCTCCACTCTTTTATTACGAATTTAACCGTATGATAATAATAGGATCTAACGAGATAATTAGAATGCCTCCCTCGGTGCGGACGCGGTCAAAACGGTATTGCTAGAGCCGCCGGAATAATCAAAGGAAAAGTTTGCATACGAGAACAGATCTCTCTCATTTTTATCTTGCTCTTTCTCTCTCTTCCTCTACCCCCGTTCCCCGTATCCCGCCTCTATTATGCATTTTAAAGAGGGAGTTCGACCGTGCCGTTTTAATTTGCTCCGACTGACGTCTAGGAATCACGCGATCTCACGAAATGTTTACAGGCAGCTTTAACTTCGGAATTCGCCTATCTAATTTTTATTAAGCCCCCAGAATTAGTCCAAAGCGTTCCTGCCACGGCACCGTCCAACTTCTCCCGTTTTATAATACGTCCAAGGCAACGAACGAAATTGGAAAGCGCTTCTGTTTCTACAAAATTAAACATCATCAGGTTTTAATTCGAATTCCGACGGCGACGTCGCCGTTATTAATCAGGTTAGCTTAATCTCCTTTTCCACTCTCTGCTCCCCTACGGAAGGGACACACGGCGTTCACGTAAGTATATATTTCGCGCTTTAATTCTTCCGCGAGGCGAGACGCTTAAACCAGGATATCCTTCGCTAATTTCGCCTTTCTTTTCGCACGATGCTAATTCTATAAAACAATGTAAAAAAAGGGAACGCCGCCGCCCAGAGACACGCTACGTGACCCATTTTCCGTTTCTCTTTAATCAAGAAAGGGTGACTCTTTTCAGCATAATAATACAGCAATAAAGGGAAAGGAAATAAAAAAAAGTCCTATACATATTTTGCTCGTAATAACTATATAAAACCACGGAAAATGGTGATTCTTTTTTTTTATAAAAACAATCGGTGGGGCTGGTGCACGGGACCACTAAAAGGGAATGAGAGGGGAATGAAATTAGGAAAATCCGAAAACACCGGGGACGACTCGTGCGAAAGATTGCACGGGTAAGCCGAACTCGGTGGTTACATCGGCATTCAAAGAATCGAATGTATAAATATGGTATCGAGGGCCGGAGTGCATGGCAAATATCCGTGAGAATCGCGCAAGGCGCTTGTACGGACATAAGGGAATGCTATTCCGGCGAAAGTTTGCCGGCGAACTACTTGCCTTTGCGCGGAGTCAACGAACATGCACACGCGCAACGGACAGGCATGCACACGTACGATATATATCTTTCGCTTAAGTTTTCTTCTTATGCAACGCATTACATCCGAGCCTCGCTTATCGGGTTGCATGATCTTCCCGCGCCAAGAAAAATATAAAACCGACCGTGCCGCGTTACCTTTACAATAACTTTCCTTTGTACTCTTTACCCCTCTTACCTCTTACTCCTACTGCAGACGCAGTCAGCGTTAGGTGAATCGAGCTTCGAAAATTCTAACGCGAAGGACATTTATTATTGTCGAGTTTTATTAACATTCATTTTCCGTCTGTAGATTTACATATATATATATTTTCTGTTTATAGATTTATGTATTGGAGTTTATACCTGTGTAATAAAGTATAATTGTTATTTTTTAAGGTAGAGGCATATGATTTTCGACCTGTTTCTGATCGAATTAATTTTCCATAATCTAATATAATTTTAATATTTTTAGTATCTTTGTTCACCTTTGAGTAATAAATAAATTCATTCGAACCGAACAATCTACAATGACGTATATTATTATATTCATACATGAGAGACTGTACTTAGTAATAATTTTGAAATCGATGTTCATAATTGAGTTTGAGAATTTATATCGAGGAGGTACGATAACCGAGGCCCGTGCCATCGGAAGCTCGGGTTCGCGTGATTGCACGGCGGCAGGCAGACGAATTATTCCTTTAAAATCCAGTTACCGGTTGCGAGCGCGAAATTTAACAAAGAAACTTGCAGATTACTATAGTTTCGTGAGATATAATTGGACGTGGTGGCTGAAACTGTGCCTTCGTAATAATAATTGGTGGAACGTCTGTTCCATGAAACGAAGTTCCGTGAGTTGGCTGGCTGGCTGGCTGGCTGGTTGCCTGTGCGAAAACGCAGGTACAGAAACTGTGGCAAGGAAGAGACAGAAATGAAGAGAAAGAAAACGGGATGAAAGAGAAGAAGAGAGAGAGAGAACGGTTTGTCAGGATGAAAGAAAGCGAAGAAAAGATGCAAGGGAGAAAGATAGCAGAGAGATGAAAAGTTGGGCAAAGGTAGGGACTCGGGAAAGAGAAAGGACGGAATGAAAGAGTCGCGAGGGTAAGTACGTATTCAATTTCATTGCAGCGGGAATGAATAAGATGTATATATTTACGTATACGAATTGCCTCTCCGAGGAAAAGTGGCTTGCGCCACGCCGCGCCGTGCTACGTTGGTCCGTCTGCCACGACAGAATGCCAGCATCCCAGCAAAGGAACATCAAAGCGGTCCTTGTACATCCATTCAGCTCGCTTTATGTTCATATAAATATTTTAGCCAGTCGTGCCGACTGTTAATCGTGTCCGTCTCCCAAATCGACCCGCTGCGATTGCCTTTGTCCGCGCTGTTTCAATTACTTCCTCTGTCCCAGGTTATTGGTTTCCAAATGATGGAAGAAACAAGAGTAATGCGGAATATTTCATTTCCCAACGTTAGGTTCAATGAATTTCGTAATCGTCCTGAATAATTGTAACGTTAAAATTTTGGTAAATTTTGCTGTCTTGTTTATTTGAATGTAGTTCAAGGAAATGACCAACGGTTTTAACACTAAACACTAAATACTTTTACAAGAAATAAAAGGAAAACTAAAGATTGGGGTTATTTTGCTAAAATTGTAATTATTATTTAAAGAAGTACCAACGCCGATACTAAATTCTACTCAAATGTAAAAAATATAAATATAGCACATTGCTGTACAAAAACTGTCGTTTAAATTACATGGACTTTTTTTTTACAATGGACTTTCGATCGTCGATGAGAAGTAAGAATTTTTATTATCATAACTGGACGTTGTTCGCGGATCGAGTGGCTGCTTTAAAATTGAACCCCAAAGTGAATATAAGCGATCGTTCGACAGAATGTTTAGCTAGAAATTTTCCCATGTCCTATCGTTCCTTACTGAGGATTAAAAGATAATACCGTGGATTCACGAGTTCTTTGTACCAACAGTTTCTTAAATCGTGACCCATTATCTCCACCTCTTTCTTGAAACGAGTCTCCGAGTAAGACTTTGTCGTTGGTTCATTCCGTAAGAAACAATTAAATCACGAAACTTATTTTCGCACTTTAATAAGTTTAAGACGTAAGTCTCCGCGAGGATTAGGCGAATTACGCTAAAGAAAGCCGGGGAAAGAAAGTTTCAGAATGTATTTTTATTTGACACTCTGTGGAAATTTTTACGAGTTCACCACAGAAATTTTCGTAATTAAAACACTGGCGGTTACGCGTGTTAGCATGGTATACGTTATGACAAAATTACGACCCGGCGTGGGTGGAGTTCTCTAGCCCTCGACAAAGCGTAATTTTATCTTTCCGCGTTATTGCTCAAACGCTTAAAATTTCCCTTACCTGCCGCACTAATGACACGGTTGCCACGCGAAACAGGAAATTCTGAAAAAACGGAATTTTATGATCAGCAAAACTTGTGCTGGATATTCCCAGATATCATCATAATTCCTATTAAGTGTTTAAGTTTTCTCTAAATAATGAATCTGTATTACTATACGTCAGAATAATTAATATATATTTAACATAAATATATATTTAAGTAAATAAAAGAAAATTTCCTATACACGTGTTGTTCCTTAATCAAACGTTTTCGTTAGTAAGTCGAAAACTGTTCCTAGGAGAAGGATTGGACAAAAACATTGAATAGAGTAGCACGATTCGTCAGACTTTAAGACTCGCAATGGTGTAGTCCTGTAAAGCAAGAGATTTTCCAAGAGGCAGAGGCCCGGCTCTTTTTGTCCTCGCTTTACCAACAACGGTTTTCCATCAGTGCGCTCTCATTTCCTGGTGTAGCCACGAACTCCGCCTCGGTCCACGACGATATTAATTGAACGAAAGAAACACCGCGCCATTGTTTCCGATCTTTATTCCACTTGATCCCAGAACACGACGCCATGCCCAGTCCTATTTCCATCTGGGGCCGGCTATGCGGCACTACGGGAAATGGAATCGTCACGGACGCGATTAATCTCCCAATTACAATGGAACAGCTACCCAATTTCCTGTGGTACCATGTTTGGTAATCGTTTGGCTCGACAAGAAAACGGATCCGAAACGAATCGAGGGAACGCGATCGCGTTCACAATAATTCACCCAGCATTCCACCCTCGCAAACCCGCCATCCCTTATCTCTGACTACACGTTACATCTCTTAAGCTTCCGCAGGAATTTCTCAATGCACTTCAAATTTCGCTTGCTGAATACAAACATAATGTCCTTACATTCTATT